ACTCGCGGCGCGCGTAATCGCCGCACTGTGCACGCGTCTCGCGATTCGAAACGGCACCGCGCGCGTCTCGGCGCGATGTCGGCGCGAAAAAAGCAAGCGCGGGTCGACCGGTAGCGTGCCGGGTCCGGAGCCGGAGCGAAACGCGACGGACGATGGACCCGACAGCGACGCAACAAGTGACAGCCTCCGTGGCTCGTAGACGCTCGTAGTTCCCGGTGAGATGCGTACGCTCATCGATGGCGCCACTTCTCAACCTCGGCGAATTTCCTTCGATTTTTCTCCGAAAGAATAGCGAGAGAAGGGACGGGAGAAGAAAATGAGAAAGGAGACCTTTTGTCCTCGTAAGTAAAATCGTTACGTATGGCTTTGCCCACGCGACGCGACAAAAAAAAAGAGAGATGAGTATATAAAAACCGATGCGCAGGATAACGCGTTTATTAATTAATTTCTATCTGAATAGTCTTTCTCTCTTTTAAAGATTCAATATATTATTTGTATGTAGACGCAAAGGAGTTGCTAAAAGATCCCGTTAGCTTTTCTGTATAACTGTTTTATTCCTTCTGAGAAGCGTCAAGATGTGTGTGCATAACAAAAATGTTGATTGTAAGTTTAATTTCAATTTGGAAAGGCAGAATATACAACACTTTTCGAGCAAAAATATTATTACATTTGTTGTTGGTGCCAAAACGTTGATATTAAAATATATAAAATTTTATATCGTCATGATATAATTATTAAGTGATAAAATAATTAATATTTGTCAGAATGTTAAAATTTTCAAGAAACCCTCCTTAGAAAGTTATACGTTTATTAAATTTTTTATTTAAGAAAGGAAATTAAGAAGCATTCATTAAGACTTTGGTATCTCGGTATTCTGAAACTCAATCTTCATTAATTTACCGACGGAATACCCGCTGACTATAGATTTTAATATCTTTCGCAGCATCCCAGAACTATGCTCACACTGATTGTGAGTATTTTTAACAGTTTCATTAGTCTTAGCTAGATTTTAGTAAATATTTCGTATCTGATTATTATTAAGTTATAAATTATGCTTAGTATTACGCATGGAGAATACACTGTTGGTAAGCGAAATGTTGATAAAATAGTTTTTAAAATTCATAATCATAATTTGACTTCTTGTCTCCTTTATGAACTATAAAAATAGATCTTTATAAAATTGTCGACGCAAACCGAATATTTTGCAAGAGATCTATACATTTTTAGGTAATAATTTACCAAATTTTTTTTCTAATTTCTTCAAACATTTCTAATGCATAATAAAAATAATGACATATACAGGAAAAAGATGAATAATTTCGTCGCAATTTTATAAAATTTTAAAAATACATAATAAATGAAAAATTAGTTAACCTGTATTTGCTTAAAGAGACATCCAATAGATGTCAGCACAATTACCATACAGAAATCTGTACACATGTTCGAATTGTACTTGAGAGAGTTCTTTTTTATCACTTCGTACAAAGAAAGTAACATAAAACTAAAAAGTTATTTAATTTTCATGTAGTTCAAACCAAAAAAATTATTTTAAACAATTAATTTTACGAGAAATTTGAACAAACTCAAAATAAATTTAAAATTGACTTAATATACATTTTAGAGAACATTTATAAAATACAAATGTTCTGTAAATATATTAAAATATAATTTATATAACATCGTTACTGACGTAGAAGAAGAAAATTACCAGTCAAGTCCAGTGTTTATGCAACTAATATGTTTTTCTTTTAAATAAATTTGTGCTGTAAATACAATATCTAATTTTGCTAACGGATTTTATATTATGCATAATTATTTTATTATGCCATAAATTGCGTACGACCATGTCTAATACCAATTTCTCATCGACAACTAATTAAATGCCCAACATACATAAACGTCGCTCGAAGAAATTGAACCTGACCTTATTACAGAAGTGAAGTATCAATGAGTTGGTGGCTCGATCGAGTGAATAGATCGAGATGAACGAGCCGAGCCGATCGCTCCTTCATCTAACAATAAGCCGCGGGCGATACGTCGATCCGTGTATCTGTCATTCGGGCATGTCAACAAGAATGACAGAAACTTTCTTTTCGAGGTGCAGTTCAATCTCGACGTGGCGCCTAGCCAAATATTTAGTTGCTCTCTTTCGACAGCACAAAGAAATCACTTGCGACAGATTACAAATTGATGTGAAATTCACTTGCGTTCCATTCGAGTGGGCGCTTTCTTCTTCTTTTATGGGTGTCTGTCCCTTTTGGGATTAACACAGCATGCTTTTCCCACCCTATTCTTCCTCGTAATCTCCCTTGATGTTTCCCAATGTTTTCCCTATTTTAGTATACCGTTTTATTTATAATGAATAAATAAAAAACTTATATATGCTTCATGAAAATCTATGCCTATTGCTGAAGCACAATCATATGCAAGTACACGTATTGATAAGCTCGTATTATTTATCTTATTTATCAAAATTTGCATTATTTAAAACGGATGTTGCAAATTGACCGAAAATAATATTTTAAAAACGTTATTATTATCTACCTCTTCTAACCATTAACTTTCTCTTGTCTTATTAAATACAATGTGGGATTTCCAGCATAATAATCTTGATTCTGAAAGAATTCTTGCCACAGGACGATTAAGAAAACTTTGTAGCAATTTATAGCCTTTGCTGTGACATTCGCGAACACGATCGCTTGGGGCATTAAAAATCTATTCAAGGGATACAAATTATGTATGTGTTGGAGAGTTTTTCTTTCTACTCAGTCAGTTATCTACATTCGACATTGATGCCTTTTCGTTAAGATTTTTCAATGAGGAATGGCATAATTAAAATTGTTAGATTTTTATCTGATAAAGTTGCTAATATTTCTCATATTTATTCGTCCGTTTCTTATATTTGCGTACGTTCGCGGGATGTCGTAAGTTAAGTTACTGCCGCGAGAAGACTTATCAAAACTCCGACGACTACCACGATCTGTATGCAAAATGATTCGGACTGGTTCTGATTGAAATTCGTTTGCTCATGTAATATTTAACCGCGAAAATTCCGTTCACACTTGTTTATCGCAATATTCATACTTTTTCTGTTTGTTCGTTTGATTATTCGAGTTTGAGATTGCGCGTGAAATCAGCCGCGTTGTCCGCATCGGCCGGTGCTCAGGAGAAACGAGTCAAAAGTTCTGAAAAGAGCAAAACGAACAAGAGAAGATTTTCACGGTCGCCAAGAGAGACACCGGTCCCGCGATTTCTTTCATGCGACACGGAGACAAAACGAAACAGGCGATAGGGCATTGCCGTAGGAGTCAGCAGGGTGCCATGGCATTCTTGAACACAAGGTGCTGTAGAAGTCCGAGTCTTTACTTTCACTGCTAGCGGTCTGATCTAAGACGCGTTGTCCCTCGCGGCGACATCATTTTGCATCCCGAAGGGCTGTCGGGCTCGACCAAACGCGGCCGCGAGTCAAAACGACGGAAGAACGATCGTGGTAATTCATGAGTCTCGATCAATCGGATGTAATTGCGTAACCTTTTTCGATCGCGACCGGTCTGTACCGGCCGCCAGCCGGACAATACCTTTGCCGTTCCATCGGTGACACGACCGTCCGTTGGAATTTGAATTTACATCGCGCTGGGCGAAGACGAGCTCACAGATTCCAGCGTGGCATAAATTTCGCGAAACGTGTGTGTGCGGCGCCGGCAATCGAGATAGTGAAGATGACAGAGAGTGAGACGGGGGGAACATTGAAAAGGAGTAACACGTGGGTATGCGGCGCCGATCGTCTTCTAAACCGCAGATGAAAGGGAAAGGAAGAATTACAGGAGGAGCTGTACGCCTCCGTCTCCTCGGGATTCGATCGCCGATGGCAGAGAGAGAGAGAGAGAGAGAGAGAGAGAGGAAAAATTATTAATATTTGATTGTATATATATATATGTATATACATATTTCTCTCAGATTTCACGGAAGGCTAATTCTGCGTGATACACATCCGTATTCTACTGAATCATTATCTATTTCTCTTAGTCAGAATATTATTATAAATATTAGATAATATTATTATATTATACAATATAAGATAATATTATTTTCTAGTTATATTAATTATATCAAGAGTCGATAGATTTATAAGCGGCATGCGTTATCTCTTGAGGCACTCCTTATATTTGCCATTGTGTATAATATTTCATATTTCTTGCATTTCAATAAAATTATTGTTATTTAAATTGCGCGGCTATTAATTCCTCAATTACATCATTCAAAGAGTGGCAAAATATTTTCAAATGAAAAATGTTGCGTGTACGTAAATGATAATGCACTCGTATGCAGCATCTACTCTTATTACGACGTATTGCAGCGCGGCGTAATACATTTTACAAAGTTAACTGATGAAATTTGAAGTCACGTGCACGTCGATTTCGATCGCTCGAAAATGCCATTTATAACTGCATTTCGGGAGAAACAGTCGGTCAGTATTTCTCATCCAGAATTGCAGAATGTTTATTTGAGATTTATCACAAGTTACGTATATACTTTTGCGAAATAAAATAATACCATCGAAAATATTGTCGCGTCAATTTATCGAGCAACGTGTATCGCCGTCGCCGGCATATATGGTAAATGTTCTGCAATCGAAATGTGAAAAGGTGCGCCATTGCCCAAGACCGTTGGACTCCTCTCCAATCGTTTAATGCTACTTGTTCAATACTCTAGTATTGAAATATTTGGTGGAAATGGCTATGTTCAAAATTCCCAATTACTAAATGCAACTGTGCAATAAGTGTGCAAGGTATCTGATTTTATAGCATCGTGAAATACACTAATATTCGTCCTCTAAGCATATCGATAGATGGTGAGCTTACAGGGTAACACGTTAAGGCAAGTAAAGTAACCTATCATTCGAGACTTGTTGGCTTTGCGCGAAAGCCAGCGTAAAAGCTCGGGTTATTCGCGACATTGCACACGTATTGTGTGCGACGTAAGGGGGTGAGTGTATCAGATATATCGGGGTACCGCTATCGCGTACAGCTTTAGCACGGGTGGTTGCTGGCAGAGTGAGAGTGCCATATATATAGAGAGAAGGGGAAACTCGACTCGGCACTCCAAAGTACACAGCCTCCGCGATTGCAGTGGTGTGCTCTTTCGGTTTCCTGCCAGCAGGTTGTCGCCTGATATCCATTCCCTCGCGGGCCTCGCGCCAGTGGTAACAGTCGGCCACAGACCGGTGGTTTCCGCACGTTCGCAAACCTCAGAAAGGGCATCCGCAGAGGACCAACAGAATTCGCCCTAGGCCGCCGACACCATGAAACTTACGCTGTTCACGTGAGTACGCCGTCGACGGCTCACGATCCCGAGAATAATCCATCGGTTCGATGCAAAAATGAAATGCATAATTTATAAGAGACCCGTCGACTTGGCAATTCAAAAGAAATCTTTACGAATTGTGGATCTATTCATTCTCGCATTGACCTCCTCGATTTCTTCCCCCGAAGTTTTCAACTACTTTCGCGATAACGAAATCGCAATCGCGCCTCACTTTGGCAGTGGTTGCATGCTTATGCAACCGCCTTCTCTATTTTCCTCATCGAACGTGTTTTCGTTTTGCTAAATGAAGTCAGGCGGCAAATTCTCTTGATAATCTTGGGTATGCGCGTTTGAAAATGATTAAGAAATTAAAAAGAAACGGACCCACTTGTAGTCGAGAAGTGAGATGCATTTACGTGTATCACATTGTTCAGTAATAATAAACGATTGGGGTAAGAGTTAATGACGCTTAACAATTTAATCGCCCGCTTCGCGCGATCGTAGATTATTCGTAAATCACTTTGAGACAACCTGAATTATTTCAAGGCCGGTCATACATTCGTGACTGAAAGGTATACGTATACGGTTCAAGCTTAATATCTGTCATCCTGTTACCTGTAATCAAAATTGCCAACGCCTGAGGAAATTGCGGCTGCTAAGCGTCGATAACTTTCGATCTCGGACGTGGATCGGTTTATGGGGCTTAATAGCCAATATATCCTGGACCGTGTTTCCACACGATTTGAGAATAATGCATACCGGTTGCCGACCATAAAACACGTGCCCTGACTCCGCGAGAAGTTATTCAATCACCGCGTTTTATAAACCGTCGCCTATTGATTACTTCACACTACGCTCCCGTTCGACGACATTTCGATCGGATTCATACTCGGTGCGCGAACGCGGCTGCGAGCCGAGTATTAATAACGGGATGCAGAGAGGCACGTTATGCAAACCAACTACTGCAGTAGCTGCTCCGGGTCCTTTCCTGGTTCTGACCAGGAAATTGATTAGAAAAGTCGTAACGAGAGTGAGAGCGCATAACGGCGATTATCATTGTAATTGATTGATAAATACATATCTGTTTAATTAAGAAAAAATTCGTGTAAATATTCGGGTGCCACCGTTGCTTCTTCTTCACGTTATACTAATGAGCAATGCGTGGTAATGTTCGTTTCTGCATTACAAACCGGCATAAAAGAAAGCAGAAAGAAACTTATATTGCTTATATTTTAATATCTCTTCTGAAGTGATTTTCTCAAGCTCGTAATAAAAATGCATCAGATGTAGCGTATAAATTCATATTACAGTCAAAGGAATGAGAAGATTCGAATGAAAAATATCAAGACGAACCAAGAGATATACAGAAAACGAAGCGAAGGAAGAGAAAAGAGAGAAGAAAGTAAAAGTTTAATTTCAAAAAAGAGAAACAGAAGACATGCAAAGAGATAAAATAAATTATAATATTGTATTTTAGTTTGCACCAAACGTACATTATTCGATTAAGTTGTGTTTTAAGTAAAATTATCATTTCAATTTTTCTTAAAAAGGACTTAAAACATTCCTCGTATAGAAAAAAACGTGTTCGTTGAAGCCAACGATAACTGCTTTGATTAAAATTGCATTGAAACTTGTATTGCAGAGATTTACGATTCCATTTTCAACTAGCGTGACAAAGGTAATAAATCTTTTCCGAACGCAGAAGAAAAGATGCATGAAAAGGAAGGCGAGAATGCTAAGAGATGCTAAAATATTAGAAAGACACAATGGCGAGAGGAAGATGACAAGTATAAAGGCGACATAGATTTCTTATGCAGGATAAAAGCCCACGCGCAAACGCTAACGACATTTTGCAGGCGGATTACAATGCGAATGTAATCGCTTCCTTCCAAGGCGAAGTTCTAGCAAGTTCAGTGATCCCGCGTCGACGTGGTCGGACGGACGATGAATTACTTCACTCGCGAGGTATAAATCAAGATTTGCGTACGTCAAGCGGTATTATGCTAACGCGAAAATATATTCCACATTCGGACAGTTTCGCAGTCCCGCACACAACGAGGATTATGCTCATTAATTACGCCGAGTGGCTATTCTCGTTCACCGGTGAACCGGTTCGCTAATAAAAAGAAAAAGTAGATCGCAGATTCCACAGGTGGGTAAATCAATTGCACGAACGTGACTTCTTTTGCGTTTCATTTTAACTTTCCACTAAGACTGTAGTAATTATTATCACTTTGTATCCTCAATGCCTTTTTTTTCTACTGTAAAAACCCCGAATTTCTTTTACCACGAGAACATCTATGCCGAAATAGTTCCCGGCTGGTAATAGTCAGAGTGACAATAGTTACAATTCTTACTTTATTAAAATAAAATATGAGAAAAGATAGTAAAGATACGCGGACGCGATTTTAAGAAGTTAAAAAATTACGACGATTTTAATGAGAATCAACCAGCGCGTGTCAACCAACGTCACCGCATTACCATTTATATTATGACATAAAGTAGATTTAAACATGTTATGAATACAACTCTACATCTTGTTAATAATCGTGAATCGACAAGTTAATGGTTGCAACTTCCCTGCTGATTTAAATTAGATGCTTTCTACTACTCAGCAATTCGTCAAAGTTTTATCTGAAATATTTCCATATATCAGATTAAAACAAAACCCGAGATTAATAATAAATAATTATAAAATGAAATTTCTAACTGCTATATATGTATTAAAAAGTAGCAAGTTGTATCTTTTCCAAAAAAAATAATGCGAGATTTTAAAAGAAGATTATAATCTGCTTGTGAAATTATGGAATTATTAAGAGCAAAAGTACAATGAAAACGTAACACCGAAGAGAACAATAAAATTAAAACTATTCTTTAACGTGCTGTTTACGCTTTAATTAAAATGTACGGATTGCATTACTTTAATCCCGTTAAACGTAGACGACAAATGTCCTTGCTAACGGTAAAAGCGCGATACCGCGTGATGAATAATGAGTAACAGCGTTCCGTTTCGAAGAACTTAGGAGTCGGATTTTTATCCTCGACACAGCGAGAATATTCATCTAGAATATTAATGAGGTGCCAGCTAATGAATCCACAATATTCATCGGAGACATTAATTGTCGCGGCACAATTGGATAAATGACGCGTGTTATTTTCAATTAACTTTGCATACAGAGAACAAGCTGCGTGTCTTTTCAACAAGGAGCTTGATCATTACTCGCGAATAAAGGACTTCTGTGCAACGAGGTAACAGCGATTATAGCCAGAAGCGTGAAAAAACTTGCGCCGAGGAACTGTTAGAGTGCAACCTTTGGAAGAGAATGAGAAGCTCGAAACTGTGAAAGTGAAAAAGGACACTTGACTCGAGACGGTGAAAATGCAAATATTAACTGCGCGATTCAGCCGCTTGTCTTCGGATAAAAAAATATCACTATCCGGGCGAATTGTACTTCAGAGAATTAATACATATTATTATCACTGATAAAAATGTCACAGATAAACTGTGTTATATTAAGCTCAAACACATTTTATCTCATATGTTCCCCAGCGTTCGACTCATTATTTATACTGGATCCACATTAAAATTCGCGAATGTACACAGTGTAGTCACAACAGTATTAAAACCACCTTGAATTTGGTCGACAACGTTCGTCGTTGAGAGAAATGTAATACAAGGTAATCTTGAGAAATCCCTGCAAAATTATCCTATCCAGACGACGCTACTTGATCAGTAGATGCATCTGGGAATCTGCTTACGAATTCTGCATGAGCCACTGACCAAGTTTGGACATGTGGTAACATATCCTAAAATGTCTGTTGGGAATTGAGGACGCGAATACAACGGAACTGTAAATGTCGACGATCTGCGCGGAATTATTTATGTTATATTTAAAGTGCGCAAAAGTAGGAAATTTTCTTACAAATTTCACAAAACTATCACACGAGATTTTCTTTAAGGTGAGCATAACAAGTCTCCTTACAATTGTTTTAATATGGACAAAATGAAAATTAATTCGCAACTTTTCTACAAGTATCTTGTAAAGAGTTCAAGTACGTCTTCACTTAATCATTACGTCCCACGTGCCAATCTATCTGTGTAAGTATGACTGTAATTAATGAATGGCGAGATAAATGGATAAATTAATTTCAAACGCAAGTCAACTCTGCTGATCGATAATTACCGCCTCGCACTCAACTGAAGAAATAAAATAATGATCGCAGTCGAAAGGATTTAACTTGGACAGTTTTCAATCTGAATTCATATACAAGCAGCAGAATTATCCCCTGATATATTGCAGGCTGCTGAAGCTTAAGAATTACTATTAAAAAAATATTTAAAAAATATTGATTTAAAGACATGACATTGTTCGAACAAGAACAATGGCATTGTCATCCGATTATCTCGAAATCTCAAAGATGTCGCCATTCTCGTTTCAATTCGCGTTTCGAATCCGTGCTTTCGCAACCGCCCAGGCGTGCGTATTCCCACGGCGATCTATCGATCGAGATCACCAGACTCGTCGTCTCCTGCGGATCCCTCGAAATTTCTCCCCCTTTCTTTACCCAGGGCCCCGAGTTCGGCTGGTTTTCTTGACATTTGTGAGCCGCCTCACGTATGAATGTCCCGTCGTAACGACGCGGCCAATCCCGAGCGCCACGGCGCGCGAGTTGCACGAGAACCGTGCAGAGAAAGTGAGTCCCGTGTACGTGAATGTCACAGGTCAACATCCACCTGGTGTACGCGGATCTACTACGAGCGAACGCGAACGCGAACGCGACATGCGAACGAGCGGGCAGCGCGCCGCGCCGAGCCGAGCGTACGTAATAATCGTTGCAGCTCACGTTGCGAGTAGGATCTTTCGTCCTCGGGTTCCTTTTTCGATCCTGGCGAAAGTTGCGACCGGACAACCGTCCTGCGTACGTCCTGCGCAAAACTCGCGTGTGCAAATTCACTTCGACCCATTTCCGTTTCAATCAAGAAACTCGACTGACTGCTCGCAAAAATAAAAATTCTACATTCGTGAGGCAGACGATTTTTTAACTGACGCCGTTTGAAATTCTACTTCTGCGGGAAGTCTTGGAAAAATTAGACACAAAACTCAAAGAGAATTAGTTTAGAATAAGTTTAGGTATAGGTCTGTAAGAAAATTGTAACCCTAAGGGGAACAATGAGGCTAATTCTATCCTCAAAGAGAATTAAATGACGTAGAGGAAAAATTTTAGATTGAAATGTGCAGGCTGAATGTTGGGTAATCGTACCGTCTAATAAAGAGATTTTAAATGAAGATCTTTAAAATAATAAAGTTGAGTTATATAAGAAGCGAATCTCGCAATATACGAAATGGCTGCTGCATTAAGTTCCTTAAAATAACAACCGTATAATCTCGCTACTAAGTTCTCTAGGCAATACTCCGCCTTGCGTATTCCGCTGTCTTCTGAGTGCAGCCTGTCAATTTAACCGCAGTAAACGCCGTAAACTCGTTTCGCGGCGGTGTGTTACGCTACTACTTAAATAACACTTTTTCCAGCATAAATAGCGACAGCGTAGGTTGTCACGGTTTTCACACCATCGTTCGATGGCTCGACACTTTTTTCTCGGCATGAAAAATCGTTTTCCATAAGAACGTATTCGTACGTACTCGTGTATTGCAATCTACGACTGTCGCGCATCTGACAATGCACGATATTTCTGCATAATATCGCATTAAACGTTTTCATATATTCTTTAAAGAGATACGAGTATCTGTTTTAACGTGGTTACGCTACAACGGAATATTAAAAGAATTGTATAATCTCGTACGTGTTTCTTTTAGTAAGTAAAATCCGTAGAAGAGACGGGGAACAATAGAATAATTATATAATATTCTCTCCAAGATGAAGTAAATCGGTGAGAGATGCCAGTATAATAAGAAATTATAATTTGGGTAAACGCGTTCTGTGCAGAATACTGGCCCTCTGTATAATAGCCGTCTGCAAATCAGCTGAAGAGGAGTATGATTACGAGGAGGAGGCAGAAGCGCCGGTGACGCCGGCGCCGACAAAGCCGGCAGGTGGTCGACTGGGAGGTCTTCTATCTTCGAGAGGACGTGTCAATGTAGCAAATGTAGGAAAAAAGAAAGCACCGGTGGGTCCAACATCTTTTGCATTAACGCGTTGTATATGTGTACACGAAGTGAATCGCGAAAATGAAATTGAAATTCTATATCTTAATCGTATACGAAAATATCTCTATCTCTCTGCTTCTTTTCCCTCTCTAGACACAAGCAACGACGTCGAAACCGGTCGAGCAAGCGCCCGAAGAGGATGAGGTGGAGGGCGAAGACGCGCTTGACGAAAATCAGGAACACGACGCGCCTACGACGACGACCGAATCCGCCAAGAAACTTCGAAATAACGGTGGCGTCAGGCCCTTCAGGTAAACCACTGAAATACGGCGAAATGTTCCGTAGATACTTTTTACATTCAAATATTTTATAATAAATGCGCGCCTAATGTAATTTCAGATCAAACGAGGATCTTTTGGCGGCCTTGAAGAGACGAAGAGCTCAGACTGGACCCAGTAGTCATTCACGTGAAACTGCCACCACGCAATCTGCGGTGGAACATACCACAGCCAAGTCGAAGTAAAGCAAGATTTTGAAAGAAAATTTGCTTTAATTCCATTTTAGAGAATAGCAATATTTTATAAAAAGAATTGTTTCAAACTAATGGCGTGATATGTTTCAGAGCGAGCACAAGCAGTCGCAAGGCTAGCGCAGGGAACGAGGCAAGAACATCAGGACGCGGCAGGTTCGGAGGAAGAGGAAAGACTGTTCAGGAGGAGGTCGAGGAGACCCAGCGAGAGGAGGTCCAAGTAAAGCCGAAAGCCAACTCCTACCGCAGACGCAGTTAGAGCGATCGCCAATTCGTGACGAGAGTTGCCTGAGCATGTTGATATCTTAGAACGCGCATCATTCCAATTCGACCACCGACCAGCGTCCGAAAATCCTCATCTTTCGCACACATTGTACAATTTTATAAAACAACCTTACTTGCCGAACTCTCACGAATGCCGTAGATTCGGTGCGTAGTCTCGATTTCCGTGTACGCGGACTTTCGAGTCGCACAATTAACACTAAAGAATCGTAATACATTTTGGGCACGAGTCATATGGAGGCATCACGTCTTTTTTTCTCGAAGAACGACAACTTCGTTTATGTCTTGCCGCGCGATATTAAACCTATGACCGATCAACAGAAAGCTGGGAAGCGTATCGATTATTACGACGGGTGTTAATCGAGAGATCTTCCCCTTAGCCGTACTAAGCTTCGATCGACGCGTGCACATTGGGGATGATGAAAAAGTGATGTGTACATAGCAAAACACTGTCATCCGTCAAGCACCTAAATCGCCTATTGTATAAATGTAAATTAATATGACAATAAAGTTTCTCTGGACAGCGACTCTATTCCATGTAGTCTTTCAATTGTTTTCACAACGTAAATCTTATTAAAACGATACTTTATCATCAACATAGCAATTATGTTACTGAGATCAGCTTCTGTCAAATTTACTTTTTCATATGCAAATCTTTTTATAACGTCGAAGCAAATTTTAAGTGTGATAATTAAATTCAGAATGCAAGGAAAAAATTATACGATAAAAATACAAAGGTAATTTTCAATTATAATTCAACTCTAAAGAATGTTTCTTATTTTGTTTGCAATTGCACGTTAAGATATTTATCTAGATTTATAAAAGTTAATCAGTGTTAATTACTTTTATATATGCAAATCTTTTTCTACCGTTAAAGAAAGTTTTAACTGTGATAATTAAATTCAGAATGCAAGGAAAAAAATGATACGATAAAAATATAAAAGTACTTTTCAATTACAATTTAAATTTCCAGTGAAATATTTATTAGTTGTCAATTTTTTTAATAGAATTTGACGATTAAAATTTATTTGCAGGTGAAAAAGTACAATTACTTTTAATTTAAGCAAATTACCTATCAATCATCTCTTACGTAGCTTTTCAATTAGATGTACTTGTCAAACTTGTCTCATTATGAGATATACTTTAATCATCTCACGAAAAAGAAAACAATAACTCATTGTGCTTCAGAACAAAGATGAGATGTAATTGGAGAGAAATAAACATTGTTTTTCGTCACCAGTCAAGTATAAAATCTTAATTGTGCATTACAAAAATTGCGAAACAACTTTCTGTTTGTGCACGTATGAAATTTCATTCTTACCGGATGAGAGTAAAACAACATTTCTCTTTTTACTCTCGAGATATTTATACTACATGCACACACATACAGCGTGTAATTAAAATAATTAAATACTTGTATATTTAACCTATATACTAAAAAACATTCTTTTTAATTATTCGGTTTATTCCACACTACATGTTTGCAATTATTCACAACTATTAGACAGCAAAACCAAGAAAGAAGTCGTAATTACGTAAATTTATTACTGTTTCATACGCTTTTTCATTATTTTATCTTTCTGGAATTGAGAAAATAGACTTAAACGCGTGATTTCTAGTTTGAGATTTAGATTTAGATTTTGAAAAAACAAACGTATTCAATTCGTGACTCATCCGATCGACGCTCAACGCCTAACGTTCTCCATTATTGTCCCGGCACAGTTCGCAAATGCTCGAGTCGTGTAAAAATAATGCACACGCATCCTCGCGGAATGTGCACACGGGAGAAAACGTCCTACGAACTTCGGAATGTTGGAGGCGTTTGGGGCGTGCACTCCCGCATTCTTATATGATGTGCGAGTGTGGCACGAGAAGTGCCGCATTACCACTCCCGAAACTCCGAAAGTTTGGTGCGACCGACCCACTTTATTGCCAATAAATAATCCAATCACGACCTCTTCACAACGCTCGTTTAATGCCTTTCACCCCCATCGAAATGTCTCTTGCACGCCCAAACTCGCGATATGCAGAAATGTCTCGAGCGATACGGATCGAAACGCCAAGCTTTAAAGTGCTTAAACAAGTCAGCTGTCGTTAAAACTACCGAGGAATAATATTAAATCATAAATCGAACATAGCTTACGACAGTAATGACAACGCAAACAACATATTATCCATAAATAACAAACGTTTAGAGTGAGATACCAGCGATCATTCATCATCGTTCAGTAATTGCACATCTTAACACACATCGACTCTTACAACACATTGACAATAACGAGTTTTGGGCACAAAGGATTTGAATGCTGGAAACGATCGGCTACGATCGGCAGGTTGCGATACAAATCTACGACTGGGCCAAGACTAATCGAAACGTCGGCGTTTACATGACCTAAAGTGCCTGTAATTCGCTCGTGAGCACGAGAGCGCTGAACTTTAAAGTTCATCGTGAACTCAATTTCATCGGGCGGGGTTTATAGAGATTTGTGGTTTCGGCTGTCCCGTCCAGCCTTGAGTCGATTGC